GAAATTTGATCAAGATTCTATCTTGTCATCAATCAGAAACGAAAGAGTCACATGCCCAGCTATCCCATCTCTCCCGTCTACTTTGTTCCTTGGTTTCTGTTTTACTATCGTTGAACACTGATCAGCAACGCGCAAACGCATCTCATGTGACTCCTTCGTCGCTGAATGATGACAAGATAGAATCCCAATCAAACTTCGACTTCCATTTAAGTATCGTTTAATTTTAAAATTATATTCATGTTCGTCAATATGCAATAAAATATGTAGAATAATTCGATCTTTTTATCGGAATTATCGTTGAAATACTCATGCCGTAAATACCAGTAAATACGTGTTGTAAGCACTTCTGACTACAGACGGCAGGGGTGGCAGATCATGATTTGTATTGGATAAATAGGCTAGTCAGCAAGATGATTCGTGGCGAGAGCATAGCTCATTTGCTCAAACCCACAACTTTGGGCCTTCATCGAAGAGGTATTTTGTTGTCGAAAATTTTTCGTAGTCGACAACTAAAAGTAGTGATAAAGCAGAAAAAACAGTAGTAGAATGAGTTGACGACTACTAAACGTGTTAAATTGCAATTGTCGATTACTTGCAGTTTCTCTTCAATAGTTCTTAAAATATTTTCCTATAACTTAACAATTGCTGTTTTCTTAGTGGCCGAAAATCTCTTTTCAACGTCTTTTCTACGGAATATGAAATATGAATTATAGAATCCCAAGATACACAAGTATCACCTGTTTCCGTAGTATACTTGTGATCATTGTACTTTGTATTTTTTAGGCTTTCTCTAGCCTTATTTTCACGCTCAAGTGAATGGTAAATTCACTAAATTGCTGGTAGTATATGAGAAACAAATAAAAGTCAAAAACATCAAAGTTTGAGAAATTGTTAAAATTCATGTTACGGTAAGCATTTGATTCATTCATACAAAGCTGATCATTCATAATCGTAGAAAATATAGTATAATTTTACACAAGGATTACGTAGCAGAAACAAATGTGGAAATGTTTTTATCGTATTCACACATATCTTTACAACAAAATAGTAATTGCTAAACAATTATGAGAACCTGAGGAATGATTTGTGATCAAGAATTTCTTTTAATAAGGACGTAATTTAAGGTAAATAGAGGTATGGAAAATTCTCAATCTACTTCCCATATTCCAAACATATTCTCTGAGAGTCGTCTTTCATGTGATAAACGATAACTGAGTAGGCGTTTCTCTTCCCCAAGTGAGTCATCACCAACAAAAACGTAGAGGACATGATTCAGGTGCATCAAAACCATTCTCATCCCACTGGAGATCATCTGACCGAGGCAGAGGTCCGGGTGGAGACAGTTTCAGTTGATTTTATGTCAAAGCTTCAAGAAATGAACCGTTCCGATAGACTCCACCATCTCTATTCTACCTTGGCACCCCACATCAACATATGTAAACTTCTAATCATAATCAACTAGGGCTGATTTGACAACGCTAATTAAACCATCCCTTGTACTTGTCAAATGTGGACCCACTGCAGTAGGGATGGACTTTTTATGTGTTTTCCATGCATTGCACCAAAGCAATTAGAAAACTGCCATTGTCGTTGGAATTGGTCCGAAATGCGCTCTATTTTTTCTCACTTTGAGGCATACAAAGAGCTTCACTTTCAAGTTGGTTATAAATTTCATCACACACCTTAGGAATCAATGCAGAAACTGTTGACTTGCCAACATGCGTAACTGATAACTAAGGCTTGAGTAGCTTTCCTCAGTTACAAGAAACCTCAATGTGATGGAAAGTCGTTCTTCAGGTTTCATTGGTTCTCTCACGTTTGTTGATTTTATTTGCAGGACACGTTTTAATTTTTCAAGAAGTTCCTAAAAAACATGAAAAACGGCTAATCTAAATTACAAAGCCCATCTTTTATAACTGTCTGCTGTCGCTTTTAACGGTGGGAGTGGGTTATTAGTGTCTTTTATTTGGTGAAACGACATCAGGCTACAAGATACTTTTACTTTGATCTTTCAAAAATGATACATTATAGTATGTGTTAATAAATGTTATTGATACTTACAAGTAAAATATAAATACCTGCAACTTAAAGCTACAAAAATAGCTTTTAAATTGTCATAGCTTATACTTCAAATGTATTTGTATCCACTCCCAAATACCGTCGATAGCTTTCTTCGTCTTCGAACCTTAGTTCTTGAACAAGGGCCCGATAAGCATCTCTTTCCTTTCCTCTTGCAATCCAACTCTTTTGCTACACATTGCGTATTTCGGTTGGCATGCCTTTTTCCTTTTACAACAACGGCAATAAAAACAGCAACAGTAGTGATTTTCTTGGCTTCGTGGTCAGCAATTTAAATCTCGTTTCGAGAATTTGTTTATTGAGAGATTGTTACTTCTCGTCATGGCTTTCGTGTTGTTTGTGTTGTATTTTAACTCCTATACGCAGGCTATTTCGCAAAAAAATATCTAGCCGTTAGAACAAGCAACCGAAAATCCAAACCGAAACAATCGGATCAGACAAATCGGGTCGTGTGAACGGGCCTCAATTTACTGTTTTGCTTGAATTGTGCACAGTTGATTATTAAACATGCTAAATATGAGTACCACTATTTCGTTGTTTATGGAAGTACTCACTTCTTTAAACATTTTTCTTGTTGTCTTACAGCTATCAACATGATTTTTGCTAACTCGTCGTTGTTTTGACTGCCCATTTTGCTTTGAAACCACTTCCCGCGTTTTTAAATGTTCCCGCCATAAAGATTTCTTCTCTAATCGTGAAGCCAAGGCAAATTTTTTACCTCAAAGCCTAACTGCCCTTGAGCTCCTAAATTGCAGTATTAGGAGTGCCTATTGCCAGTGGAATATGACAAAAAACAATGGCAATACAATTGCTATTTAATGTTGTGCTCCAAATGTATTTACAAACGGCGCTCCAAAGGCTACGCTTAAAAACACATAGATAAAAGAGACAGGCAATATTTAAAAAAAATTAAAAGCTTATGATTTTTTTGTGCTACACCTTGATTGGAAAATTTATTATCATTTTGTTAATCTGGTTACAGAAAATTAAAACCTACTAAGCTGTTATAAATTCTGATTGGTACAGAAAAACTCATGCGATGCTACCTCGAAAACAGGGTCTTTCCAGCTGATCTAAATATTACATGAATTTGTTGTCAATCGTCCTTGGTATTGTTGCCTATACTTTACCCACAAGGCAGCAGTTTTTACTAAGTTCATTAAAACATAAATGACTCATTTGCTGAGCATGATCATCTGAAATGGTTGCATCACTTCTTATCATCCAGGTCATTTTCCCGTTTACAGTACAAATATGATGTCGAAATAGACAATCTAATTCATGAGCAAGTGCGTGAATATAGCAGTTTTCAATTTGAAAGATTGCTGATGGTCCACGAGAGCTTTCAATATGAAACACGCCATAGCTTGAAATCGTATTACTGGTAGATTTCCAAACGTTTTCCTTGTTGAAAATAATATTCACCTGCGTATTTGGATCAAATCCACTGCTAGACATTAAAGTAAATTCGTTAATAAATGTTTTATTTTTTACAAGCTGTTTCAATTTTGCAGTATTTTCCTTAGCCATGGTCCAAAATTTGTGAAGATCAGGTTGAGAATGAATCATGCGATCGATAAGACTATAATACAAAAATAACCCCAAGTATTCGCCTTCAGGCTTTTTGTTGCCGTAAGATCGGTTGTTAAAAGCAAACTGTGTTTCTATCTTCAACATTTTCTTGTCTTTTTCATCCAATAATTGAAAAAATGCCAAGTGAATAGCAGCTGTTATTGCTCCAGTAACTGTACAGCCGTTGGCTTTGCAAGCTTTGACAATCATCTTTGTTTCTTCTTCATTAAATGTTTTCATTTCTAAACGCTCAACTGATTCTGGAAGGACTGTATCCAAAGAGAGTGGTGGGTATTTTTGATAAAATGGATTAGGGGCTTTCTTCTTAAGTTTGTATAAAACCATTTGCTCAAATAGAAAGGTCAAGATCGGGCGAACACCAAAGTAATTAGCGATGAAGCGAAACAAAGTATGGCCGACTTTATCCTGCGTAATCAAACTGTGTGCACTTGGTAACAGTTTTAGACTTGAAATTTCTTTTTCGTCATAGCTAATTCCATCGGATATCTCATTAAGACTATTTATAAATTGCTCCACAAACTTAACTGTAGAAATGCCATCGATACAAGAATGTTTAAAAGCAAACATTATCATATTTGTATAAACCTGTGTTGTGGTATTATATTCCTGTTGAAGTATAACAGCTTTCCATGATAAATCATTTTTATGAACCGTTGAGGTGTACTTGTATATTAAATTTTTCCAATCAGAAATTTTATCATCAGATTTCTTGATATCAAAGAGCGGAATAACGTCGTCAATATTTTTTATGTCATAGTAAACTTCGCCATCTTTCTTGGTTGAGATTACACATCTCAGCATTGGTTGACGCTTTACTAGCAGTACCAGAGAATCGTAAACATCTTTAAACAACAGACTTTGTTTAGATGAAAGGGATACAACACAAGATATATTTCCAAATCCATCGTTCAATGTTGATGCACATTCAAACAACTTCTCAATGAAATCGAGGCGCCTACTGTTCCCATTGCATACAATATTTCCACTGGACGATAGAGATTTGAGAAATTTAAGTGCCAAGAAAAGAAGCAAAATTAGTACAAGCAATTGCAAGAACAAGCTGCTATATTCCGCCATTTTAAAAGCTTTATGGTTACAAACTCATAAACATGTACCAATTTGATTTGAGTGTTTTGCGGCTTAGATAAAGACACGTGAATGAGCACGTGACAAAAGCAAGAGCCGCCTAATATTTTCCATGCCATGTCAAGTCAAAACCTTTTGTTGTTTGTATGTAAATTACCTGAAGAAAGGAATGGTACCGAGTTGTGACGTATGCATTGTGAAACATCGGAGAGTTCTTAAAAAAAATTTAATAACATTATTAGAATATAAGTTATTATTTTTGCTTCAAAACGTGCAAAATGGGGGATATTGAAGCAAAAAATTATTCTGTTGCCCAGCCGTATCAGTTGGAAGAATAACCACCACAAATTATAAAGAACACTGAGCAAACCATGAATGGCATTTCGTGTGAGGTTGTAAAGCCAGCAAGGTAACATTCAATTGTCCCATGGCTGTTAGTCCATGGTAGATTAATTTTTCTCCGAACTCTTTTATTGTTGTGTTATTCTGATGAGGAAGTGTATAAATTCATGTCGCCGTGTGCACATCATGTTATCTGTCGTCATAGTATTCCTAGATTTTTACCAACAACGTGCATACTTTCGAGAATAACGCAACAATTTGCTGTGGCTGCTCTGGATGTGGTTGTGGATATAGGAGAAGTGAGCCCGATAATAGCTTTTGACTATATCTGTTTTATGTATTTGGTATTTTTATGTGTAAATATTTTCTGTGGTTTTACCGCGTGCATATGTACTTTATTATTCATGCCACAGACTGCGTGTATTCCGATATAAATTACGAATTTCGTACTATCAAGATTGAAACTGCAATTCTAATGTTCATTTCTAAGATATGTTCTTGCAGCTGTAATGCTGATAATCAGATGGATATTCGGCATGCTTGGGTGGATAATATTACATTATATTTACTTTGTTAGTGCTGGTTTAATATAAATCATCATTGCCAAGGAAAATATCGTGATGTTTTTTTACTATTTTGTAATTATTACATCTATCGTTTTATTTGAGTATCCAGCTTATATCGATTAAATGCAATGCGAGAATCTCTAAAAATGTGACTACTGCCACAACCAGTATATAAAATATTTAAGGAGGATATTTGGTGATTTTTGTAATGTTAAAACGTTTATATAGATTTAAGTATTATTGCGCTGGAGGTAGTTTAATGAATTGTAATGATCGATGTAAAAGTGCAAGTATTGTATTTAGTATTGGTTATTAAATAACCAAAACCTTCACTCTTACTGCAACATATGTTTCTTAGTTTGGCGACAAACTTCGTTTAGTAATAAATTGAACTGATTCAAACCATGTATCGAGACTTTATAGCATAGACATTCCTGTATTTTTGTTCAACGCACTCAAAAATGCAATTCTAACTATTTAAAGCCACAATGTTTACAATATTTTCATATACAAATGTGCACTGTGTCAAACTGCATACGTCATCAAGACCTCTTGACCCCGCGCGATTTTGAGCAGAAAATATTCTTATAGTCCAACTTTGAACTTAAAATTTACCAACTTTTAGTTTAAATTACTGGACAAGGTTGGTGTCATTGTGATAAGAAAAGATGATATTTTTCGATAATGCAAAAAAAATTCGCATAATTTCATTTCATAGGCACTTTAATTAATGCTGTTTTCTTCGGGGTCGGAAATCTCTTTTCCAAGATCTTTGCTACAGAATATGAAATATGAATTATGGAATCCCAAGATACACAAGTATCACCTGTTTACGTGGTATGCTTGAGATCATTGTACTTTGTACTTTTTAGGCTTTCTCTAGCCTTATTTTTATGCTCAAGTGAATAGTAAATTGCTGGTAATTTAAGGGAATCAAACAAAACTTAAAATCATCAAAGACTGAGAAATTGTTAAAATTCATGTTACAGTAAGCATTTGATTAATTCATAGCTACATAGCTGATTATTCATAATCATGTGAAATATAGTATAATTTTACACAAGGATTATGCAGCTAACAGAAATATGGAAATGTTGTTTTTTATCGTATTAATACATATCTTTACAACAAAATTGTAATTAAATGAGATATGATCTTCGCACTTAGCTGGACAATTTAAGCAATCGTCTCAGGACCTGAAAAAATCAGGTGACTCAACGGGATTCGAACCCATGACCTCTGCGGTGCCGGTGCAGTGCTCTGACCACTGAGCTATGAAGTCACACAGTGGTGAGCAGGTCAATATTGTTGGGCTCATGTTTTCAATTTCAAACACCGCACTGCATTAAAACATTCATAAAATTGTAATTGCTAAACAATTGTGAGAACCTGAGGATTTATTAGTGATCAAGCATTTCTTTTAACAAGGACGTAGTGAAAGACAAATAGAGGTATGGAAAATTCTCATTCCATTTCCTCATATTCTAAACATATTCTCTGAGAGTCGTCTTTTATGCAATAAACGATAACTGAGTACATGTTTTTCTTTCCCAATAGAGTCATCACCAACAAAAACGTCGAGGACAGGTTCAGGTGCATCAAAACCATTCTCATTCCACTGGAGATCATCTGACCGAGGCGGGGTTTGGGGTGGAGGCAGTTTCAGTCGATTTTAAATCAAAGCCTCAAATATTGAACTGCTTCGACAGACTCCACCATCACTTATTCTACCTTGGCACGCCACTTCAACATTTGTAAACTTGTAATCATAATCTACTAGGGCTGATATGAAAACGCTAAACCATCCCTTGTACTAGTGAAATGTGGACCCACTGCAGTGGGGATGGACTTTTTACGTGTTTTCGATGCATTGCACCAAAGCAATTAGAAAACTGCCAATGTCGTTGGAATTGGTTCGAAATGCGCTCAATTTTTTCTCACTTTGAGGCATACAAAGAACTTCACTTTCAATTTGGTTATAAATTTCATCACACACCTTAGGAATCAATGCAGAAACTGTTGACTTGCCAACATGCGTAACTGATAACTAAGGCTTGAGTAGCTTTTTTTCAGTTACAAGAAACCTCAATGAGATGGAAAGTCGTTCTTCATGTTTCTTTGGTTCTCTCATGTTTGTTGATTTTCTTTGCAGAACACGTTTTAATTTTTCAAGAAGTTCCTAAAAAGCATGAAAAACGAGTCATCTAAATTACATAGCCCATCTACTATAACTATCTGCTGTCGCTTTTAACGGTGGGAGTGGGTTATTAGTGTCTTTTATTTGGTTAAATGACATCAGGCTACAAGATACTTTTACTTTGATCTTTCAAAAATGATACATTATAGTATGTGTTAATAAATGTTATTGATACTTACAAGTAAAATATAAATACCTGCAATTTAAAGCTACAAAAATAGCTTTTAACTTGTCATGGCTTATACTTCAAATGTATTTGTGTCCACTCCAAATACCGTCGGAAGCCTTCTTCGTCTTCGAACCTCTAAATACATGCTAAATATGCGTACCACTATTTCGTTGTTTATGAAAGTACTCACTTCTTTAAACATTTTGCTTGTTGTCTTACAGCTATCTACATGATTTTTGCTTACTCGTCGTTGTTTTGACTGCCCATTTTGCTTTCAAACTACTTCCCTCGTTTATAAATATTCCCGCCATAAAATTTTCTTTTCTAATCGTGATGGCAAGGCAAATTTCTTACCTCAAAGTCCAACTGCCCTTGGCGTTGAGCTCCTAAATTGCAGTATCAGGAGTGCCTATTGTCAGTTCAATTTGACAAAAAAAACAATGGAAATACAATTGCAATTTAATGTTGTGATCCAAATTTATTTATAAACGGCGCTCCAAAGGCTACGTTTAAAAACACATATTTAAAAAAGACAGGAATTATTTAATAAAAAATTAAAAGTTTATGATATTTTCTGTGCTACACCTTGACTGGAAAATACATTGTCATTTTATCAATCTGGTTGAAGAAAATTAAAAACTACTAAGCTGTTATAAATTCTGATTGGTACAAAACAATCATGCGCTACTTCCTCGAAAGCAGAGTCTTTGCAGCTGATCTAAATATTTCATGAATTTAATGGCAACCCTTTTTGGTATTGTTGCCTATACTTTACCTACAAGACAGCAGTTTTTACTAAGTTCATTAAAACATAAATGACTCATTTTCTGAGCATGATCATCTGAAATGGTTGCATCACTTTTTATCATCCAGGTCAGTTTTCCATTTAATGTACAAATATGATGTCGAAAAAGAAAATCTCCTTTGTGATAAATCCCATGAATATAGCAGTTTTCAATTTTAAAGATTGCTGATGGTCCACGAGAGCTTTCAATTTGAAACATGCCATAACTTGAAATCACATTGCTGGTAGATTTCCAAATGCTGTCGTCTTTCAATTTAAGATTCACCAACGTATTTGGATCCAATCCACTGCTAGACATTAAAGTGAATTCTTTAACAAATGCTTTATTTTTAACAAATTGTTTCAATTTTACACTATTTTCTTTTGCCATGGTCCAAAACTTGTGCAGATCAGGTTGAGAATAATTCATGTGATAAGAAAATACATATATAAACAGTCCCAAGTAATCATCTTGAGGTTTTTTGTTGCCGTAAGATCGGTTGTTGCAGGCAAACGTTGTTTCTAAATTCAACATTTTTTTATCTTTCTCATCCAATAATTGGTAAAATGCCAAATTAGTAGCAGCCGTTATTGCTCCAGTAACTGTACAGCCGTTGGCTTTGCAATCTTTGACAATCATCTCTGTTTCTTCTTCATTAAATGTTTTCAATTCCAAACGCTCAACTGACTCTGGAAGGACTGTATCCAAAGAGAGTGGTGGGTATTTTTGATAAAATGGATTAGGGGCTTTCTTCCTATATTTGTATAAAATCATTTGCTCAAATAGAAAGGTCAAGATCGGGCGAACACCAAAGTAATTAGCGATGAAGCGAAACAAAGTATGGCCGACTTTATCCTGCGTAATCAAACTGTGCGCACTTGGTAACAGTTTTAGACTTGAAATTTCTTTTTCGTCATAGCTAATTCCATCGGTTATCTCATTAAGACTATTTATAAATTGCTCCACAAACTTAACTGTAGAAATGCCATCGATACAAGAATGTTTAAAAGCAAACATTATCATATTTGTATAAACCTGTGTTGTGGTATTATATTCCTGTTGAAGTATAACAGCTTTCCATGATAAATCATTTTTATGAACCGTTGAGGTGTACTTGTATATTAAATCTTTCCAATCAGAAATTTTATCATCAGATTTCTTGATATCAAAGAGCGGAATAGCATCTTCAAGATTCTTTATCTCATAGTAAAGTTCGCCATCTTTCTTGGTTGAAATTACACATCTCAGCATTGGTTGACGCATTACTAGAAGTACCAGAGAATCGTAAACATCTTTAAACAACAGACTTTGCTTAGATGAAAGGGATACAACACAAGATATATTTCCGGCTCCATCGTTCATTGTTGATACACATTCTTGAAACTTCTCGATGAAATCGAGACGTCTACTGTTTCCATTGCATACAACATTTCCTCTGGACGATAGAGATTTGAGAAATTTAAGTGCCAAGAAAAGAAGCAAAATTAGTACAAGCAATTGCAAGAACAAGCTGCTATATTCTGCCATTTTAAAAGCTTTATGGTTACAAACTAATAAACATATACCAATTTGATTTGAGTTTTTTAAGGTTTAGATAAAGACATGTGAATGAACACGTGACAAAAGCAAGAGCCTCCTAGTATTTTCCAGGCCATGTCAAGTGAAAACCTTTTTGTTGTTTGTATGTAAATTAAGTAAAAACCAAAGTGATTATTCTGTGACCAAAGTCCATAAACTTAACAATCGTTATTTTCATCTTATTGAACATGCTAATATGATGATATTTTTGACGAAGACAGAAAGTGAGAGCTCAAATCTCAATGAAAATAATTCCAAAGGATGGTTCCTTGTTATGCTGCTGATGTGCATGCATCAGTCAGCTTATTTTCATGATTTCATAATATTCATTACTTTGTTACTTTGCTTCGTTTACTTCAAGCAAAAATTAAACAAAAATACCTGGTCTGGGATATTTCTTAACCGTGCACAAAGTACAATTCATCACCAATTTTGGTAGAATAACTGTTATTTACCTTTATCTTACAAAACAACATACACAAATCAAAACAAAGACGATCATATTCATATTCAATTTTTTCCTGTCATCAGTCTACGTCACTACGGAGTCAAATGAGATGCGCATGCGCATTGCTGATAAGTGCTAAGCGTCTAGCTGGAAAGTGATCAACAAGGTGAATATATCTCGACTCAATCTTAAAATTTCCCGAACCATCAGGGTACAAATCCTAATAATTTCGCGGTGAACCTACAATAGAGAAAAGACTCTGAACAACAAATCCACAATGCACTAGCTAGTCTCAAGGACAAAATGAGTAGACTGACTGGTATTTAGGAACGAATATACTGTCAGCATGATAAAGCTAACGAGCCTTTACAAGGCAATTGCCCTACGGGCAGGAAACGAAAGTCAGTTGCAGTGAATCAGACTCCGAAATGGAGTCGGACGCCTCGACCAACATGTCAAGAGGTAAACGATGACATCGAGAAGAAACTGATAAAAGCATCAGCATGCATGCAGGTGAAATCGCTAAGGATGAAGCTGACTTGAGAGCTCTTACAAGCACTTCTCAGACCATACAAAACAAGCGGGGAAATGACGGAAAACAACACACTAACTAATTCGTCTTCAGCTTTGCTCGAAGACCTAGCAAAGGCTTTTTCTCATGATGACAAGGCAGCAGGCCCTGGCATTACATCAACCTTGGCTGACATTGCCTAGAAAAGATAGGAGGAAAAGTTGACCCATGATAAACTAAAGAATATTTTTACAAATATAAAAGGCCATTAAATTGTGTCAGCATGATGGGTAAGAAATGCAACCCGAAAATATGGAGCCAGTTAAATTCTTCAGAAAAGAAAAATGATGTACACTTATAAAACGTACAACAATCTCTGCTTAAGACTACATTCGCAACCGTGGTGGGAATGAGGGAAATCTTATTGCTAATTCAGTTGATGTAAGTTGATATGTGCATGTGACAACAAAGCTGTAGCTTTGTTGTCACATGCACATATCAACTTTTCTAAATGCGGAAAGACCAAATTAAACCGGCTATAAAACAGGAATATGCTAGTATATGCGCTGCTAAAGTACAGCAAGATAGCACTTTGTTGTTTGGCAATGACTTGGCTAAGACCCTGAAAGAAGCTAAAGAAGCAAGTAGCATAAGTCTTTCAATGAAAAATTCCTCAACCAAACCTTACTTTAACAACAAAAAAACCACCTACCCATACAAAACTACACTCTCATATACCCACGAACCGAGGAAGTTTTTATGGAAAAATTAGCGGAGACTAAACAAAAGGAAAAGAATTCGAGCCGAGAAAAGACAGATAATCTAAAATATATAATGAAATACAACGACTTCGAAACTCAGGAAGTACCTTTTGCATCAAAATTATTAACGTACCTCCAGCAGGCATGCAAAACGTTTAAAGCTGGACAGGTCGCTCATCAAATTTCTGAGTGAAGAAAAATTACGAGTGACAAGGTAATTCTTTCAAATGTTAGAGGAACATATATTGAATGCATAGAGCCACCAACCGAGCACTACTTGCCTCTTCAAAAATTTCATACTTATGAATACCCCATTTTAGAAGAAGAAGTGAACAAACTACTTAAGAAAGAAATAATAACGAAAGTACCTTACTAAAAAGGCAAGTTGTTTCGGGTATATTTCTACGCTCAAAAAAGGCCGGATCTTAGCGACTTATTCTTGACTTAAAGCAATTCAATACTTATGTACCATACTATCATTTTAAGATGGATTCAATCCATACTATAGCCAATTTAGTAACACTGACACCCAATTATATACAAGAGTTACCAGACAGATGTCGTATATTTATTATAAATAAGTTAAAACAGACTAAACCTGGACGACACCTGAATTCATTGGAGCTAGAAGGTTTTTATGAGGATCAAAAGCTCTGTGTTGTACGACATCTTCAAGAGTATCTACGCCGAACAAAACCATACAGAAAAGAACATACGCAACTACTCTTTAGTTACATAAAACCCTATCATCCTGTTTCTAAGAACACAATATCTAGATGGGTAAAACAGGTCCTACAATCAGCTGGAATAGACATTGCTAAATACTTAGCGCATAGTATTCGTGCAGCTGCAACATCAAAATGAAAGCAGAAAGGACTTAACCCTGTAGAGCCCCATGTGACATATGTGTAACATTCCTTTCAGAGGACTTCTGTATTCCAGCTATTCTAGTTTTTTGATAAAATTTTGCACCAATACCCAACGTGACATACTTGTAACACAAAATGAGTGAATTTGATTGGTTATTCCATATATGGCGATCAGCATGCAATATACAAAATGGCCATCATCGACAAGAAGTCAAAGTCCATAAACACGCATCAAATATGTTTGATATTTTTGATTATATAAGGTATGAAATTGCTTTTTTTTATATATATTTGAGCTTTTTTAGTGTTTATTTTCATATTAAACCAATAATGTGCTCTAAATTCAAAAGTTATGTGTTATTTTACTTCGTCAAAACTTTTGTGTACATTGGTGTCACATTGGGCTTTCTGCCTCATAGCAGATAATATAGAATGTTGGAATAAAGGATGCAGTATCGCTCAAAAGCAACATGATAAGCTAATTACTTTGTATTGAATAAGAATAAGAGAGTATAAAGACCATGTAAATAACATTGGAGTCAAAAATCTGCTCACAATGCCCAATGCCTGATAGTCAATATTTACTACTTGAAGTGTAGACTGACTTGCTAACACTAGAATGAAATCTCTAGGTGATGGAAGGACAACATTTTGATGCTCACAATGTTCTTGACATCCTTGATTGTGACAATAGTGATGCTGGTGATTCAGATAGCAGCAGTGACAATGAATGTTGTTAACAGATACAGGTAAAAAGCTTTGCTGATTGTATTGGTTTTTGTACAAATGAAATTTAGATTTCCTATCAGCTTGGCTAACTGGCACTGGAATAAACCAAAATAGAAATGCTATAATAGCAATAAAGAAGATTGATTGTTTTAAAATTTCAAAATACAAATAAACTTGTCAGCAATTTTCAGTAAGGCTGATTATTCAAGAAGCCAATCATGCTAACCAGTACTTTTTTTCATTTGAAAATATTTTTTTCTGTAGGGAGAATACTCTGGCAGCAGTGATGATGATGGTGAGTTCGAAAATGTGAGTGGGGAAATCGATGATAGTGATGATAATGATGATAACATGCCCCTAGCTTCAAGCGAACAAGTAAGCCGAGTTGGAGAAAAACTTCATTTGTTGTGTCGGAAACTAGTGTAACAATTACTAGTCCAAACGTTGAAGCCCCAGTGAACATGGAAACAAAAACTCCTCTTCAATATTTTAAGCAATTTGTGAGTGATGATATGCTTCAAAATTTGGTGACAAGCACCAATGAATACAGTGTCCAAAAGTCTGGAAACTCGATAAACACTAATAAAAAAGAGATAGAACAACTCATTGGTATGTTTTTTCATATGGGGCTTGTAAGGATGAGTGGAGTTTGACAGTATTGGGAATCTGCTACTGCATACAGTCCTGTTTGTGATGTCATGAGTCGTAATCGATTTCAACTTTTATTCAAATGTAATTGTTTCTATGATTTCCACCAGTGATAGCATTACAATAAACATATTTTTTTCATTCTTAAAAACCTTGTTTTGTGTTGACTAATAAAATTATACATTTTGCCCTGCTATTTGATGTGCATTCAAACCATTATTCATACATAACATGTATTCTTACAAACCATTCTGAAGTGCATAAAGTTATCTTTTATGCCACAATTAGCCCAGTGTTACATATATGTCACGCAACACAATGAGGCCAAAATAGGACCTAAGCACAATTTTTTCACAATTTCAGCAAGTAATGACTCCAAATGAGTATAAAAGTCAATGGAAATAATTTTAGCTATAGAAAATCACATTGTGGGTTCTACAGGGTTAAAATAGTTTCTACAAAGATAACATTTAATAAGCCAAGCATTCTGTATTGTCTAAATTAAACCTCGCTTTCAATTCTTACGTAATAAAATTTTGATTCAGTTTGGATAGTAAATTTCTTTTTACCTTACAATATTTTTATGATTCAATCTAGAAAGCAACTTCTCTTCTCGAGTAATTTAGCGATTAAATAGCACACTTTTCGGAATCAAAGGAATTCTTTTGATCACATAGAGACAGCCGTCTAATTTATTACGAAACTAAGCGTATATAAAGCATTTCCAACTCACGTACAAAATTTCCTTCACATGACTAAATTACCGTGTATTTAAACAATGCATGTAATAAAGAGTTACCTTGACAACTAAAGCAAGCCCTCCTTCTTTCAAGCATTTGCAAAACCTCAATTTCAATACGAACTCTTGATTTTCTCGTAGCGTAGCCAAAAGGAAGAGGCATCAAATCAGGATACTCATCTCCATCATCACAGCCATTTTGATTTCTCCATTGATCTTTTTCAGCGTCAAGCTTATCTGAAGTGATGTTATTGCTTAAACCGTGCGACATGCGATTTGGAGAGATGTCCAGGAAGCTGCTCTGCTAAGAATTAGTTACCGTTCTCCGGATATAGACATCTATACAAAGTATATGACATTAAAAGACAGTAGCTATAAATTCTTCCTTACTTTAATGCTTGTTTTTCTTTATGATCATTTTTTAAGTGGAAGCCTAGAGTGAATTTTTCAAGCATGGATATAACTATATTCAAAAATACATATTCCAACAAGGATAAATTTCTTTATGACAATGCGATTCAATGAAAAGGAACTTGGAAGGCCAAAACGAGCTTTTCAATTCATCCAAAAATGGCAAATAACAAGTCTTTATATATATTTATTGAGCTCAACAAAAATTGTTCACATTTTTTTCATGTTTAGTAACACCAACACACAGTTAGTACATACAATATTTGAAAGTTTCTACATGTGAATGAACGTGAACTAATCCTTCTACAATCTCACCGAGAAGAGGCCACATTCTCTGTTGGTCCTTGTAATATCCCTCGCGTCAATAACATTCCTTAGAGTACTCTTCACAAAATGCTCCATCTGTATATACAAAGTTTGCAGAGTGCAATTACAATCTTCTTGCAAGTCTCTTGTGATGATTGCTTCCTCTTCCCTGTCGCAATCAGATTCCTCGTCCTAAAGGAAAGACGCTGATAGTTATTTTTACATATCTTCAGCAGCTACTATATACCTTGTGAGCCAACGAGCTCCCAAACTGTATATGTGATTCATCGCTATGTGATGCGAAAATGGCAAAAGGTTTATAATATTTTTTCTGCTTTTCTTTGGCAGCCAGATTATTCTCTATTAACTGCAAAAACAGCACAACACAATTAACTGAAGAATTGAATATTTTTTACAATTATCACATGTGTAAAAAAGATCACAAATAAAAATCAAATAAAATTTTAGAAATGCAACATTGTGCCACAAAAAAATATGCCAATATCCTGAGACTTATATCCAAGTAGAGTTAAAGGGTCATTATTGGCTTAGAGAAAAAACCCAGCATCGTATACCTGTCTTTTTTTCTTTTGCAAGCAATACTTCATAGATTTTCCTTTTGATTCTATTTCAGCAAGTTGTTCTTGTTTAGCCAAAACATATTCTGTCACTACATTTGGTTCAGAATATGTTGGCAGTGAATGCGATTCATATTCTTAGGCTTTTGCCACGAGATATACAGTGCTGTATTTTTTCTCTAAGCCAATAATGACCTTAAACTCTGCTTGGATGTAAGTCTCAGGATATTGGCATATTTTTTTGTGGCACAATGTTGAATTTCTAAAATTTTATTTTATTTTCGATTCATATTCATTATTCATAATGAATATGAATCATTGTTGTGATTAGCTACCTCAAAAGGAAATCTTGGCTTCCTAATATGCATTATCTCATAAGAGGAGCGAATACCCCCAGCTGGCTTGCTCTATATACAAGTCCCAGTCGTTCTGCTGCTCATTTATCACCTATGTGACAAAAAGGGCAAAAGGTTAATGCAGTTCTAGTCGAGTGATACTAATATAGAATTATTAAAATGCCAACCTAAGACAAATGCCGTTTTAATATACCATTTGTATGTTCATTTTGGCCATTAGTTTGGGGATGATAAGCAGCTGTGACCAGTTGGAAATTTTTTAAAGATTAAGTCATTGAGCAACTAAAGCAACTAAAGTAATGGAGAGTACTAATCTACAGAACATTTAAGATAGCATTAACACCTTACATACACTTGAAAGGACATCAGGGTAATTTACTAAAATTTACTAAAACACTTACATAGTTTTTCAACTCTTTTCCTTGATAAACACTCGTATCTAATACTTCTTAATTGAAGTATCCATTAAGAAATAAAAAATGTTTATTGTGTTAAACACGAAGGAGAAGGATTGCACATGCTCGAGAGTTCTCACAAACGTCTCCGAGGTTTGCATAAGCCAGTGAAAATACGAAAAACATCTTTTATTTCTTTTTATAAAATAACAATAACTGGCTGAATTTTTTTGAAAACAATCAAAAAAAATTGTAGCCAATCTGAATGTACGAAAAAACAATTTCAACCAATCTGCATTGCGTTTGAGCATTCAAAAATATGACGAATGTTTAGATAAGTGTCCTTAGCATAGGTTTAGAAAAATATTTGCCACAAACCCTAAAAACATTCGCGTTTTTCAAATGCATAGAAATACAATTTAATGTTACAAAAACTGCAAAAATATAGTGAAATTATTCGTGATTAATGAGATGTATTTGTTTTTCGTGTTTTCCATTTACATATGAGATATTTACGATTTATTACACTGTTTGTGTTAACGATAGTTAATTTTGTGTTGAGACTCGTCAGCATTATGTTGAACGAAAAAATGGCGAGGTCATAAAACAATTATTTTCTCGATTAAGGGGCTGCTTACATGATCCCTTACAGGGTTTCAGCCAAGCGTTAAATAATTTTGGCAAATGGAAAAGATTTAATACTTACCATCAGATGAATCTTCTTCAGCACTTTCACAATATTCTGATTTAACAACTATACGCATAACATTCAAAATCGAACAACAAATTTGGCCTAATTTGAGAATAACAACATAAATCACTCGTGGCGCTTAACAAACGGTAGTAATTTTTTCGCTTGAAGTTTTGCCCCCTTTCAATCACTCAAAATCATTTAACGCCACACTGAATCCCGGTTAGCCGGGATCATGTAAACAGCCCCTAAGCATATTCTAAATTAAACAACTATATGATATTATTTTGAAAAACGGTTTGAATGAAGAGATCATGAGACAGCGAAAATTTGAGTGTTTAATTTCAAAGACAGGTAAACTCTTGCTGCAATGATAAAGTGACAATAACTTTGTTGACAATAGGATCAAATTTCGATGTGCTAATGGTAAAGTTATGAAATATCTATGTAGATCACTGCTTTGTTATGTTCATGCTGAGCGCGTGCGTAAATTGGGTGCAAACCATGCGGTTTTATCTAACAGTAAAAGGATACAAACACGTACTTTATATATGTTGGTAAAATCTTTTTGAACGTAATCATGGGAGTGTCGTCATAAACTCGTTTCCTCCGAAACTCAATATTTATTTGTAAATTTCGTCATTTCTGAGATATTTATCCATTTCTATAAGATTTTCTCGCACTTCATGTCTCGTTGTACATATGGATATAGTTTATTGTTCGTTAATTCAGAGAAGACTAGTCAAATATCGTCGACTTTGGCATTTCCAGTGCGCCAGATGAAATAAGGAACAATTGCGTAAGTACGGAAATGTTATTGTCAATATTGAATGCATGACTGAATATGTCAGCAAAGTCATTCATGGATTCATGTTTCATACAATGACTTGGCGGTGTTGATTGGATGAGCTGTATTTGCTAAATTATCCTGCACGAATCAGCAAGCTCGTACTATGTTGAAATTTCATTATTGTTCATTAATAGTTGACAAGTGCATGTAAGTATTCCATGGTAACTTTAATTATATCATCGTGTGTTGTGATGAATAAACAGCCGCAAATTAAAAGAGGATAAACGTTGTGCGATTATACAAATTTGAAATTTTCATTTAATGTACAGCTCCTGCTACCTCTCGTGTTCATATTGTTAGAACAGCATCGATTTTAAAAGTGACCAAAAGCAGTTACGCTAGTTTTAATGGCGGCGAATACGTGGACGATTCTTGAAACAATTGTTTTGGTCATTGTATTCATAGCAGCACTTTGTGCAAATGTTAGCTTGTTTTATATCGTTGGTACGACTAGAAACCTTCAAACAAAAGCAAATGTATTTATCTTAAACCTGGCTGTCGCAGATCTACTTGTCGCGGTCATTAATCTCCCTGTGACTATAATAACTGTTATTGCCCAAGATTGGGTGCTTGGTAAGACGCTTTGTCAAATATCTGGATTTTTAACATTGCTCACGTTCGTAGCATCGTGTATGGCTTTATCCATGATCAGCATAAATCGCTACCATGCTATAGTTTATTGGACATGTTATGAGAGCAAGTACACTCGCCGTAAATGTGCTTTTTATGTTTGTATTACCTGGTTTATAACAATCATGTTATCTATACCTCCGTTTTTTGGTTGGGCGAAATTCGACTATGATCCAGGACAGAGTTATTGTTTTGTTGAATGGAAAGCAAGTAAATCGTACACGATCTTTATGATTGCAACTTGTTCATGTGGTCTGTTGTCTATAATGACTTACTGTTATGTTAGAATACTTCGTTATCACGAAGATAGTGGCAGAGATGTCCGCCAAATGGCGGTACGTTCTAACAGCCCTTCGTTACAAACTCTTGAAATGATGGACAAAGCACAGGGGTCAAGAAAAAATCGTTTGACAAGAACAGTAATAGTGTTAATTGTCGTCTTTGGCATTTGCTGGTCCCCTTTTGCGATCATAATATTGATCCAAGTATTCTCCAATGCGCATGTTCCACGCGCTGTGGATTTTGGATCCCTGGTTTTGGGATACTTAAACAGTTTTTTCAACGTGGTTGTGTATAACGCAACGAATAAAAAACTTCGACGGCAATTTTTGAATTTTTTTTCAGTGATTATCTTTCGAAAAAAGGACAAACGTTCGCAATACACTGAAGGCGCGCATTGTCACCGTGTCAGTGCATCGACGGGGAATAATATTTAAATTTTAGTCAATATTTTATTGATGCCAAATCATCAGGTACGAGAGAAACCTTTAATGAAATTGTGGTAAACCAAATAAAAAACTTCGACGGGAATTTTTGAATTTTTTTCAGCAGTTAACTAAGAAAAGACAGAAGACTAATTGGTCGCATTTTCACAGTGCATATATCGACGGAAAACTGTGCCTAAAATAAATCAATACTTTAAATCAGGGGTCTCCAAATTTTACAGCCAGAGGGCCACATGAACTTTCATCAAGCATGTTGAGGGCCGACGAACCGTATACCGCTGGTCAAAGAACAAATATTTTAATAAAACGAAGTACATTACACAAGCTTCATTAGTTAAGAAAATATTTATTCAAAATTTAAAGGTTAAATTTTAATGAAGAGTAATATCATAACAAAATCACAATTAGTCTGTTCAGTTTTGTCAATGTGAGTGGTGAAATTGGCTTTCTTAAGTGTCTCTGCGGGCCAGATTGAGAGGCCCAACGGGTCGCATCTGGCCCGCGGGCCGTAGTTTGGAGACCCCTGCTTTAAATGATCAAAAAGCGAAAGAAACATAGAGAAAAATTGTGGTTAACTATAGCGACGTTTCAACGAAGGAAACCCACCGGAGTTTCAGGAAATTCGACAAACAAGACGCTTTGCTGAAAGACATGTAATACAGAAAATTTCAGATTTAGTATTGCACAGTTAAAGATTTGCCTTTTTGCAGCCTTAAATCTAGAGAATAGCTATTAGGAAGGCAACTGCAATCCATATAATAATGTGTGTAGTAAAAATGTTGTGTGTATTGTTATTTCATAGTTTAGTAATAAATATACGGAAGGAATATATGTTGTATAATTTAGGATATTTCATTTGTATTTTTTATTGCATGCCAGATTTTATAAGTTCCCATGCAGAGTTTTATGTGTGCCAAAATTATAATTAAAAATTAGGGTGTATATACTTAACACTTCCTAAGTATTTTCTCTCTTAATTAATTCATGTTGTAGTAGTGCACGTAAGTCACGAAATGAAAACATATAAATAGACTCAAATTTTGAATAGTCGGGGAGATTGTGTAGATTGTTCATTGCTAATAAACTCCATAAAACAAACCGAATCAGAGTGCAGATCAATTTTCTGGACGAACTCAGTGAATTCTGCGACAATATAGGAAACGTAGCTATATGTAGCTAAAGTTTGTTTTAAATTTATCTGTTTCGCAACAGTGCTGTTTTCTTTTATGTTTTCCCCGTTCGCGCTGTCTTATACTAATAGAGAAGAATTTTGCAAGAACCTTGAAGCAGGTACAGTAATCTAGCTGGTGTAGTCGGGCCATAGGTCGGGAATCTTGTCCTTCAAAATTACATCGCTTGGTAAGTCACTTTGACCTGCCATTAAACTTTTGTTTTTTGCTCTTCATTGCTCACGTTCATGCACTTTACTTAGTTATCCAAGCTTGCTCTATTGTTTTCAGCACGGAGATTGTTATTTTTGGCAAAAATATTCAACATGTTCAATATTTGGCGAACGTCGCGAGTGATAAAAAACTCGAAAGTTCGACGCATACTAAAGCTTCCTTCCCAATAGCTTCCTTTTCATTGCGCAATGGAGTGTTTTAACTCCTTAGCTTCAATACGCTCTAAACTACTTTACACTCAGACTTGACAAGCTCAAAAACTTGCACACATGCGTAACAGTATCTAAATATAAACAAACTCTATGACAAAAAAATGAAACAAAGGCAATCAACGAAGCATGTGAAATAGTCCTTTATATAAGCGCAAGCATAAAGCCCGCCGCACACTGGCGAACTTGTTGAGCGTACTTGTTATTCGCGACAAGTTGGATCGACAAAAATGCAGGAAAGTTTTGAACAACATTTGTCATTCGTGACGGATGAGCTAAATATCAAAACGTGTTTGATATTTTTTGTCATGAATGACAAAAAATCCTTGTGTGCGTTGAGCCAACAACAAGTACACTTTAGACCACAAAATTGCGCATGCGCACAACTAGCATAACAAAATGGCTGATATATTGAACATCTTGAAAGAATTGATAAACGGCGAAGAATTAATACTGTGCTTGTAGCGACAACGATGCTGCTCACAAATGAGGGCAGCAAATCGTAGTCTTTTATTATAGTCTTTTTGTGAAAATGCGCAAAAATTCGTGAAAAATGGACTTTTTGTGAAAATGTGTAAAAATTCGTGAATTATAGTCTTTTTGTGAAAATGTGCGAAAACTCGTGAATTATAATCTTTATGTGAAAAGCGTGAAAATGCATGAATTATAGTCTTTATGTGAAAATATGTGTGTTATAGTCTTTATGTGAAAATATATGAGTTATAGTCTTCATGTGAAAAGTGTGAAATGCATGAATTATAGTCTTTATGTGAAAATATGTGTGTTATAGTCTTTATGTGAAAAGTGTAAAAATGCATGAGTTATAGTCTTTATGTGAAAAAGATTGAAAGTATTTGAAAATGTGTGAAATATTGTCTTTTTGTGAAAATATGTAAAAATTCGTGAATGATAGTCATCTAGTGAAAATTTGCAAAAAATGTGTACTTTATATTTTATATGTGGAAATATGTAAAAATGCCTAAATTGTAGCCTTTTGTTGAAAATATTAAAAAAATGTGTAACTTAGCTATATTTTTCGCATGAAAATGCGTGAAAATACGCGAACTATAAGTCTTTCCTACGAAAATAAGTAAACTACAATCGTACTTAGTCATTTTCCTAATTAATGAGTCCGCACTATCCACTGTTAAAATTCACGCTACAAACCTTAGCTGACTCAACCCGGGTTTGAACCAGGCATCACCATGTTGATAGATTGCATACTTGACCACTTGACCACTCAAGAGCAGTTGAACGCCTATAATTTCTCATTGTATATAACCTTCTTAGGATTTTCAAGTAAAAGACTACATTTCACGCATTTTTATGCGAAAGACTAGCTATAGCTATTTCATGACAAAGACTATATAATTCAAGCATTTTTACGCAAGAGTATAGTTTACGCATTTATACGCCAATGACGATATTTCACGCATATTTTCGCAAAAGACTATAGCTTACTGGTTTTCAAGTAAATGACTATAGTTCACGCATTTTCACTTTAGAGACCAGCTATATTTTATACCTATTTGTGGCAAAGACTATACTTCACAAACTTTCATGCAAAGGAATATAGTTCACGCATTTTCATGGGCAAGACAATATTTCATGCAATTGCATGCAATTTCATGCAAAAGTGTATGTTCACACATTTTTACGCAAAAGAGTAGCTATAGGATACGAATTTTAACGGCAAAGACCTGTGGCTCAAGCAATTTTTATGTCAAAGACTATATGTCACGAATTTTCATGTCAAAGACTATATTTCTTGCATTTCTTACAATATTTAACGCTATTTAAGACTTTCAACAAACGCAAACTTTTTCCTTTGCATTCCTTTCTCCTTTTTTAACAATTCTAACAGCCACTGCATGCAACTGTAACGACACAAATAATTAAATCTTTCCATTCTATAATCTAACCTTATCTTTTCTGTCTAAAATATCAAAATAGTCATTCTTTACATTAAATGAAAAAGAAAATTTATTGTTTACACATCAACCAAATTGATTGAGCAATCACTATTGCCCCTAACTTGTTCTTCCTAAACATCAACTAAGGATCTTTAATTTTTTCTCATATGAAATTATTCTTTCTCATACGAAATTAATATTTACAGCACAATTACATTTTTACAAATCTCATCTGCTCCTAGCTCTCATCTTCCACTTTATACATCAATCACGAACCAATTTTTCTACCTTCTGTTTAATCCTCAAATTTCTGTACCTTAACCTTCGTTGATCATTTCCTTCGAAAACAAACTTATACTATAAGCAGCCCAGAAACCTGTTTAGGTTTTTTTTATGAACCCATTTTATATATGTATATACTAAATACATTCCTTGATTCATGTGCAATGTTTGTCACTCACACGATCTCACGTGACTTCCACGTATGTATGGTCTTATAGATCTCCCCTAACTTCAACGTATGTATGGTGTCATAGGTCTCACGTGACTTCTACGTATGTATGGTTATATAGGTCTCACGTGACTTCCACGTATGTATGGTCTTATAGTTGTCACATTACTTCGACGTATGTATGGTCTTATAGGTCTCACATGCCTTCGACGTATGTATGGTTTTATAAGTTTCACGTGACTTCTACGTATGTATGGTCTTATTGTTCTCACGTGACTTCGACGTATGTATGGTCTTATAGGTCCCCATAACTTCAATGTATGTATGGTCTATGAGGTCTCACGTGACTTCTACGTATGTATGGTTATATAGGTCTCAAGTGACTTCCACGTATGTATGGTCTTATAGTTGTCACATTACTTCGACGTATGTATGGTCTTATAGGTCTTACATGCCTTCAACGTATGTATGGTATTTTAGGTTTCACGTGACTTCTACGTATTTATAGTCTTATAGGTCTCACGTGACTTCTACGTATGTATGGTCTAATTGTTCTCACGTGACTTCGACGTATGTATGGTCTTATAGGTCCTATAGGTATGGTCTGATTTCATTATATCGTGTTATGTCTTGCAACAACAAGAACATTCGTAAATTAAGGTAGACATAAATATAGGCGGGCATAAAGATTGACACAAAGTAGACATTAAGGTAGACACAAGCGTACACCAAAAGGTATACACAAAGTCAAAGGTAAACATAAAGAAAGACGTAAAAAGCACTAAAGTACAAATAGGTGTACGCAGATAGAGGCAAACTAGTAACGTAGTCACAGAGGTAGACACATAGGTGAATATGAAGGGTACACAAGTGAGCTTGAAGGTACGCAAGTGAACTTGAAGGTTCTCAGAAAGTTAGGATAAAGATGTGGACATAAAGATAGACAAGAATAAAGAATATATTATTTTCTTACTTAATTCTATAAATCGAACAATCTATATTTTTTCTTAATTACAGTTCTAAAGATCAAAAAATGATTGATGGATATCCTACTTAAGCGGTGTTAATATATGCAGCAAAATTACGTTTTTTTAGAAATTCCTTATCTCCTCTCATCCTCCCTTTCATTTTTTAAATAAATACATAAACTTTTGATAGCTTCTTTTTAACCATTTAAATTAATTTCTAGTCCATTTCTTTTCTTCCAAACCAAGCTCAAATGTTTTCACTTTTTTGCTCCAAATGCATAAATTTTTTTTTATCTACGACAAAGGACGATCCTTGCACATCAAACTACATTTTACTACATAAA